AACTAATAACAAGGACCATAGTCAAAATCCGATGACACTCATGGAATTCACATCACCCTTTGGTGGCTCCATCAGTCGTGGTTCCCCACTCTTCTCAAACTATCACACAATAAATTTCTTCACCTACCTCAAGATCCTCATCTTCTCGCTCAGGAACCCAGTGCCATGCAACATCTGGACCTACATACTCTAAATCTCACTGCCTGGCTTGTTAATTGACTGTTTCTCCTGCATCGATACTGACCGTTTCCTCAGATTCGATATATGCTCCTTCTTCAGGATTGACACCTTCTTCTACAGCTGTATCTACAGCATCAGAGCTTTCCAGACCAATATTGCCTTCTGTATTGACATTGGTACTGACATCTTCCTCAGACCCGACCAACTTTCATCCTGATAATACAGTTTATTCTCCAATCTGCACTACGACTGACCACGTGGCACTCTTATAATGCCAGATGGAAGTGCTTCATATCCTTTGCTGCTGCTAACCAATTTCTACCTCAATCTGCTACCATCAAGAACATCCTACAATTTCTACTCTTGTTACACCATGGAGGGGAGGGTCTTAAACCTTCCTCCATTAAGGTGTATATTGCAGCTGTTTTGCATCATCGAGGATGCATTAGAGGTTCATCTGTATTCTCACATTACCTTGTGCATCGATTCCTGCAAGGACTACAAAACCTTCAACCACCGACCTGATCAGTAGTCCCGACATGGAGCCTCTCTGTTGTTCTACAGGCTCTCATGAAGCCTCGTTTTGAACTACTGGCTACAATGGATCTCTTCCTTCTCACTTGGAGAACAGCCTTTTTGGTAGTGGTTACTTCAGCCAGAAGAGCCAGCAAACTGTGTGCCCTTCGTGTTGACCCTCCGTACCTAAACTTCCTCAAGGAGAAAGTGGTTCTGCGCACTGATCCAAACTTCCTGCCCAAGACTGCGACTCCTTTTCACCTTAATCAGGGCATCGTGCTCCCGACCTATTTCCCTACTCCATCGACACTGATCGAGCGCTCCCTACATAGCCTGGACGCCCGGCAATGTTTAGCCTTCTATCGATCCTGAACTGAGTCATTTAGGAAAACCAAATGGCTTTTCATCAAATACCTGGAACATGACAAGGGAGCGCCTGTTAGTACTCAAAGACTTTCAAAATGGATTGTCGAGACAATTAAACTGGCTTATCACCTTTCAAAACTGGACTTACCTATTACTCCAAAAGGACACTTCACAAGAGCTGTCGCTGCTTCTTCTGCCCTCTGTGCAGGCATCCCCTTGCAAAATATCTGCAAAGCGGCCACATGGTCTACTCTGTGCACTTTCACGAAGCACTACCGCTTGGATGTCAAGGCCTTTGGCTGTGCCGTCCACTCCACAGTTCTCCAGTGATGACACCGTCCCGCCTCCAGGTGTGGTAAGCTTTTTAATCACCCATGATGTGTGATGCACAGAGACCACGATGAAGAAAGGCAGGTTGCTTACCTGTAACTGTCATTCTTTGAGTGGTCATCCGTGCATTCACACAACCTGCCCACCGGCCCCACTCAGTGTCAGTGACTGGGTATACTATATGACTGCGTATGCCATATTTATTTATATATTCCTCCTTATGAGTTGGGTTTGATACCGGCCAGCTCCACTCAGGGGCAAACAGATGGTCTTCAGCTGACTGGGGAAATGGTGGGCACTCTGATCATTTATATTACGGGATGGGGCACGAATTTCCCACCAAAAACCATTAAAGCTATGAAATCTTACTGGCAACAGGCACTGCGCAGGTGCAGCACCCATAATGTGTGAATGCACAGATGACCACTTGAAGAACGACAGTTGCAGGTAAGCAACCTGCCTATTCTTTAATGGTGAATTCTAATTAGGAACTTTAATAAAATTGTGGCAGTTCTGTAAACCCTAAAGTTAATATTAAAACTGGTACAAAATAATCCACCCAAGTAGAATAACCCACTTGCTGTTCCCTCACATTTGGTGGCAGTGGTAGGATAATCTACAGGGGGTTTTATATTAATATACCAACATCTAACCAGAACAAATCCAGAAATTTGGAATTTGGTAGAAGAAAAATTAAGGTGTCAAGAACTCATATTTTCTTCTATATTATGATATGGTGACTCTTTGAACATGCTGAAATGCTAAGCATAGCTTGTAGCATCATTAGATATCTAACAGAAAAATAGATCAATAATTTTAATAAGGAATAGAGTAAATGCTGAAAATTTTAAAGGGAGGATTTTTAAAAATTCCTCAGACTTCAATCTCTAGTTTTTCTGTCTGTTGCATTTTATTGTTGTTATACTTTGCTGTAAACCACCCCAAGAACTTTGGGAATGGGCAGTATAGAAATGAAATTAATAATAATATAAAATATTCTTATTGCATAGGTTTTAGAAATCATTTTGTAGGATGTAAAGACTCAGTAACACTATATAAACAATTTGTCTTATATTCTAAAAAGATTTCATAGTTTAAAACTGTTCATGTTTTCCAGTTTTTCAGAAAAAACAAAAATGGTCCTTGGGAAAAAAGGCAAATTCTCTCCCCCTCCCCGATTTTTTCCTTTATTTAATCAGCCCTTCGTATCTCTAAAATGGGCATCAGTATCTAACATAAGTATGAAGGAAATCTCCAAACATTTACTTTGGAAGGTAGGTCTGTAAAGGAAATGAAGGGCGCTGTTTATGAGGATGCCTCTAAACCTCCATAGTCAGAGGCTTGCAGGCATCTGGTGCAGAGTGGGAGGAAGATAGAGGTGAGCTTCCTCTTCCTGCTTCTCCTGGTCTAATAGCACTTCAGAGGGTAAGGGAGGAAAATTGGAGTACCAGTCAGAATACCTTGTGTTCTGGCCATTTTGATCACATCCTTCTCTGCCATTTTTCCCAGATTGCTTCTCCAAACTCAAAAGAGCAAACAGCATCAATTCTTTCTATGCCAGCTGTGAAAGGAAAGGGACAGGGCTCTGATCCTCAACTCCAAGGTTGGAGCATTGTCACTAATATCACAGCTGGAAATCTGAATTATCCTGCACCCCTCCCCTCTCAAGACAATGTCTAGTAGCAATTGAATTGTTTCTTCTGTTATTCAGGAACCATACTATTGCCATACAATAGCTAACAAATGGGTTTGATGACGCATATGCAGTACTTTTGGAATTGATAGGTACTTTATAGTATTGTTGTTATCCATCAACATAGTGAGTCATGGTCAGGTAAATTGTGTTGTATTCCCTTTTATCCGGTTGCAGACAGTTCTAAAACAACCTAAGTAATTTCTGTCCTCAGATCATGAGTCCCGTTCATTTGGAATCTCAGCCTTGTTCAGCAAATGTTGAACTCTTGTGACATTCATGATTACTGCTAGAAAAATAAACACTGAGGATAGATGAGTTACTTTATCTATTTTATAATACAAAGTGTACAGATAAGGCCTTCTGAGTACCTAACTATCAAATCCTCTTCAGTATAGCTCAGTGAGCATTCTTGATAGTAGAGATTTTGTTTCTGAACAGGGCCACTCCTAGCAGAAAATCCAGCTAGGTCAGAAATCCTTGTAGGTCACTTCTGAAAGGTTTGTACTAAGCCATCATTGTGGCTTATTGTAAAGCCCTACAGTTGAGAATTGACTTGTTAAACACTGTTTTTTTTTTAGATAGGTTTTGAAGATTAGTTGAAATTATATAAGATTTTGTTTTTTGTTTTTTACTAAAAATGTATTGCCATTCAGAATAAACAGCTGTTTCTTTGGATCCAGAAGGAATGTGTGTCTTGAGCATATTCACTGCACAACACAGACACACTTATCCTGCAGTTCTAGTCAAGTCTGTCCTACTGAGTTCAGCAGGGCTTACTGTTGTGTGAATGAGTATAGGACTGCAGAGCTTTCTACACAAGGCTTAGTTTGTTGTTAATTTGCTATGTGCACTTTCATTTTTGATGCCTAACTCATGCAGATCCAGACACAATCCAGGTTGCCATAGGAAAGGTTGGAGTAGCAGCTCCAAGCTTGAAAATGCTTTCCAAGGTTGGAGCTGGCTCTCTGAAATTGGAACACCCTCCTTCATCTTTCTACATTATCTGTGTTGCTGAGGACAGAAGGCCAACCTCAGAGCTGATGTTGAGGGGCATTTGGGGATAGGTAGGGAGGGGAGGTGTGAGTTTCTTCTGGAATACAGTGTATTTTTTCACAGCCTTGGACTGTCCTTGCAAACAGGTATAAAACTGCATGGTGCCGTAACAGACCTAAAAAGAAACTGAAAGACTAAAATATCAGGGAAGAAACAAGGTCTTCACTGGCATGAAAAACAGTACAACATACAAGGGGAAACCCAAAACCCCCCCCAGGAATTATCTTCTGAAGGGTGGGCCCCTTGTAGTACAGGTTTCCCCCACTAGATGAGTGTTCTAGGAACCCATCTGCATCAGTGTACCCAGCTGAGTTCAGTGAGGGGTTTTTTTTGGGCGGGGGAGTCTTTTGACGTGTTTGCCTGTTTTGTGATGACTGATTTACACGAACAGCTTGCAGCAGTGAAATTTTGTTCAGCTGAGTGTTCAGTAGTTTTTGACCAAAAACAGCATGGCCCTCATGCCCCACCTCCCTATTCACCCATTCTCACCCGTGCAACATTTTTTCCCCCGGATGAAAAATGTCCTCAAAGAGAAACGCTTTGCCAATGTGGAAGAGGTGAAACTAAGGCAGAAGCACTAAAAGGCATCAAAATCGATGAGTTCAAAACCTGTTTTGAGCAGTGGAAAAAACATTTCTGTAGGTATATTGCATCAAACAGAGAGTACTTTGAAGGTAACTGAAGTTTGAATATGTAAAAATAAATACACAATTTTTAATAAATTCCTGGGGGTTTTGGGGTCCTCCCTTGCAGTCATCAGTCAAGGCTCTCTGGGGAGCTTAAGAGTTGTCATACATTTACTTAAAATGTATTATAATAACATGCTTTTTTGAAATGTACAGTTTTTTCCTCTTTTTAGGAAACCAGGATACATTCTATGAGAAGAAATTTTTCACATCAGTCATCTGTGACTTTGAAGCCTCGATATGCACGAAGTCCTCACTTTCATCCTAGAAAAGATTACAGATCAGATGAGACAATGCTCACTACTCCTTCCTCTACAGACTCTGTTAAATAGAAATTTAGATACCTACTAAATAACTAGCATATTAGCACATGAACATAAGTAATTTTGTAGCGCCTCTCATTGATTAAAAACTTCTATAGCCAGAGTGTCCATACTTTTTGTGAGGAAACGAAAGATTCTAAACGTGCAGTTCGTAAACACAAATAGCAGGATAAAATCATGGTTACCATTGTCAATTAGTACACTTAAATGGTGAGATAAGACTCAGTTTGTAGTACACAGAATATATATGCACTGTTTATTAATGCAGTTTAAAATCAGCATATTTCTATTACAGGACAAAGTTAAAATTCATTTTCATCTAATAAATTACCAGAGTAACTACAGCATTAAACACAGTTCTGCTAGACTGAAAACTCATGCTAAATTGAACTCTAAATATTAAATATTTTATTCAGTGTTTCTTCTTAAGCACACTTTTTATGATTTGGTACAGATGCTATTTTACATGTTCTGGCTGAAATCAAATATTCTTTGGGAATTTAAGTTTTTTTAAGTCATTTAAAACAAAAAATAGGTACATCTATACATGTCTGCTTGTTTTGCAGCTGATGCTGTTTTTTAAAATACTTTAATACTAAATACTCTATATAGTATTATTTTACATGTAAAAATACAAGCTTATGTTAATAGAACAATATATTTCAGCATTTGAAGCCTTTCATTCAACCTTTAACTTCTCTGTGTGCAAGATCAAGCTGCCCATATCATGTACTGAGGAAGATTATGATTTTCTTCTTCACTACAAGTATACGATTGTTTATTCCATAGTTTTTTTTTATAAGCTTTTAGTTGTAATATCTTATTATTATTCTGGAAGAATAAGTCTGCCTGGTGTAATAAAGTGGGAGCCAAGTTCTATCATTGGCAGTGTAGGACTTTCTGCTATTTTAACCTTTCCTTACATTTTTAAATAATTCTAGTACAGTTTTTCAAAATTTAATTTCAAAAGTGAATTTCTAATTACTTTAAGATATTAATTTTGTTTTATGTCAGGTATGTATTTGGTAGAGTATTAAATACTAGTAGTTAACATCAGCAAAGTAACATTTAAATAATTTATTTAACAATTATGAGTGTTACCTTTTAACATTTTATTGGACATATATGTACAACTTTATTACCTGCTTTGCCTTGAGTGTACCTGTCATTACATACGGCTGGAAGTAAGGAAAGTAAATTCAGATTCTTACCAATTTTTATTTATTTTTCTACCAACATGTTCACTCTTTAATAGGTGTGCACCTTAATTGAGCAGACAAAAAGATCACATGCAAAGTAATTTATACGTTTTATAAAAATGTTTGTGGTAATGCATCAGCAATCAGATTTAAGTTTTATGACAAGTATAAATAACTTGAACTCAGTTTAATGTTTTGGTTTTATATTTGCAGAGTTTTAAAAATACAGCTGTATAAAAGTTAACATCCCTTGAATCTGCTTTATATATGTAAAGGATTTGCTCAGTTGTATATATCCTTGTAAACAATATAGGAGAAGCCAGAAAAAGGCCATGTGTTCTGTTACTGTGGCCTTATTTTTAAGAATATCATGAAACAGTTGTGTGTATATATATATATATTGCTTTCATCCAAGCAATCAGGGTCACTTTAAATCTTTGCTTGGGTTCCCATTTTTCCTTTTATTTATTGTGCAAGAGAAGCATTATTTTCTGAAAATATTTCATGACATCCAAGGGGTGCTTAGTATTTTGAATTGCAGTTTAGAAAACAATTGTATTCATATGGGAAAATCTTTTTTTCTAACTGCTTGTGTTACAGAGTTATTGATATGTATATCAGGTAAGATAATATCCTAAACTTTCCATGTTAGTTCCACTGAAAAAACAACAGAAGTGTCAAGATTGTTTTATATTTATTTTAGCCAATATCTGCTTCATACTTAAAAATATAATATTAAAAATAAGTGTTGAATTAATAAAGAAGTCCCATATAATTAGTTCTAGGTTGTTATTGAAGTAGGAAGGTTGCCTCTGCACTCTGGTGCTGCGTGTTAACCTGGGCCTTCACAAAACTTTTCAAAGCGCTTGTGTGTTTTAATGCATGTCACAAAATCTGGGAAAGCTGGTTAAAGTCTAGTACATTCCATTTTGTCTTAATATGTTTCTCCATGAAAAACAACTGCTCCTGACTTTAGTGTACTTTCTGATTTCAGTCATTTATTTGTCCGTTGATTAATACAAAGCAAGCACTGACAATGCTGCTGATATTTATTATAGAGTATCATTCTGTGTTAAATGTCCTGATTTTAAAACTTTTTGTTGGGATATGTAGCAGAATCATATTTGCCATAGATTTAAATTTGGTCTGCATGATCATAATGCCAAACATGCTTTAAGAAATAAATTTCATAATGTTAAATAAAACAGGATTGTCCTGTTTTGAAATAGTTATTTATTCTTCTGAACCAGAAAAAAAAGGTTCAGTTTAATCATAACATAGTCATTGATATATCATTTTGGTATTTCCTTCTGCATTTAATATATTCTAAATTCCATTTAACGGTGTAAACTATTAAAGTGTATTCACTAATAATTTAGAAGCAACAGAACACATGGCTTTGCACCTATGTTTTATTACACTTTTACAACATGTTTATTGTAATATGTTTTTAAGTAAATGTTAAGCTAAAACAGGAATTTCAGGGTACTTGCATGCATCCTCATATAGTGGCAGGTTTTAAAAAATACTGACTGTGACCAGGAAAATTGTTCAGTGAAAATATACTAAGAATTTTTTTTATATGTGACAATTCTTTATTATTGTGATGATCTAATTTTAAACAGAATGTGAAGTATCTTGTTTGGGACTTCATTATTTGACTAAATGTTTCCCATTTTTATAGCGTAATATTGCTCTAAAAATATTTTTTAAATGAGTTAAAAGCAGGTTGTATGATATTTTGTAAAACATGCATTTTGTATTTTACTTATCAGTATAAGGAACTGTTCAAAAATGTAGCTCATAAGCAGAAAGGTTTTAAAAATCTGCATTATGATAGAAATAATATTCAGGATAAACCAGTCAGGAGCCTGCATTGTTACTGTGCTCCAAATGCATTTACTGTCAGTATTGCATCCTTAAGTTAGTACAAATGTACATAATATGTTTTATCAATAATATCATTGTTCATAAGTTTTCCAAAACCATTACTTACTCTTTTCCCCACCTTCGGTTTAAACTATAGGCCTTATCCAGTCAACTTGTAGGCACAGTGGGAGCTCACAGAGGATTCCCTTAAGGTTCAATAGAGTCCTGAGTCATGCCCTTTGTGACCCCCAACAATAGGTATGAATGCAGGAGGAGGAACTGAATAGGGTCTGAAGGACCAGCTATTAAATGTCCTCTTGCACTGTCCCAGGGTATATGTAGGAACAGGTCTCTGTTAAGTCAGTGTGAATCCTCTGTGCAGGGGTTCTGCTTCCACCCTGGATAAATTGTGCCATGAATGTATAATACACAGTAAAAAAAGTTTCCTGCAGCTTGTACCTTTAAATAAAAACATCGTTTTGTAGTATTGTTTCATCTAAATAAAGCATTCTTTATCTAATGTTGGTGATACAAACTTGTTTTTTTAAGGAAACAAAGCTATCAATTTAAAAAACACATTCCTGGGATTTTATAAAACTTTATCTTTTAGCTTTATCCACTTGAATTCTGTAAAACAGATTTTTGTGACTGCCCCATTCACCACAGCAGGTGTGGTGGTGGTGTTTTTTTAATATGAGCATTGATCCTAAATGGGAAAAGGTAACATTAGAAAAATCACTTCAGTCTGTGTAGATCATGGATGCACAAGCTCAGGATTGGGGGTGAAATTCAGCCTTATTCGAGAGGGGAGATCCCAATTTAGTCGTTTGGGATTCCTTAGAGAGCCATATTTCCCTTTTCCTAACCATTGGTGGTTTACAAGCTTCTATACAGTTCTTTTCTTCACTGAAATGCCGCTCCTAAAATATGCTTTTGCGCTTGCGTTTGCTTTTCAGTGCTATTTTAATGTGAACCCTGAAAGCTCCAAAAATGAATTGGGTCACTAGAAAGTAAGAGAATTAAATGCCCTTGTTATAGACCCATCCTAAATTTCTTCACAGAAAATCCTTCTTTGTGAGAACATGGCACATCATAACAACCCTGGCAATAGCCACAGTGATTTGATTGTTCCCTGTCAATCCACATTGCACCCAGCAGATGATGGGGCTCAGTATTGATTGTTCACCCCCTCCTTCCCCTCAATTCTGCTGTGTTCATCCTAGTTGACCCCTGGCAGAACCAACTTGTCTCCCCATCTCCACTGTGCTTTTGAAACATTTTCAGCTTGCCACAGCTGCTTCTTTGGGGCAATCTCCATTTGGCATCCCATGATAATCCCTTCAGAGTGTCCAGGTAGCATGTTGGATGCACTGTCAGTGGTTGGAGACCATTTCTTTTCTTTTTTTAATAGTTTTGCTATACCCGCACAGCTGTGGAGGCTTGTTCTGGGGCATACCTGCAGTCACGATATAGTACAACAGATACCAATCTTTGTCTTCCTCTGGTTTCTCTTGACAGTTGTGAGAGATAAGATGTTAAGGGAAACCAAAGCACAAGGGGTCTTTGCTTACAAAAAGGAGGTTGTGAGATTTAGACCCCATGTGGCAAGAACTTACTGAGCTTATGTCTTTTGTTAGTTGGTTGCATAAGACCATCCTAAGGGTGTTCTCACTTTTCCAGTTGTTCTCAAGACTAATTGCTCAAGAACATGGAAAAATGCAAGCTTTCAGTTTTACAGCTTGCTAGCTTTCAAACACCAGCTCCATTTAAAAGAGTTTGTTTTTGGCAGGGCTCTAGGGTTTGTTCACAAAGACATGTAAGCATATTGCTGACCAGTGCAAATTGGAACTTGTGGGGCATTTTTCTGTTGGAACAGGCATAGGATTGTACCCCAAAATAATTAATTTGCTGTTATTTACATGCTGTCCTCATTTGTAATAGGGTTGAAAGGCTTAGTAAAGTTTGGCGTAGTGGCTTTGTGAGATCAAATCTCCAGAAATACACTGAATGACATAGCTGTTATTCTCTATGGTGTTATCATACCTATTTTATAGTTTCAGTTAAATTACACATTCATTTGGGTGTGTGATTTAAAAATTAGCACTTTGCTAGCAAATCTGTTTTAATAGGGAAAAAATGAAAAGCACATAAACCAGCATCCTTTGCTGTAGCATTATCAACCTTGGGCCTCTGTTTATGTTGTGAATTCCACATACATTCTTGGTGGTCACAAGGATAAAAACAATTTTTGAAAAGGAGTAACCCTTTGGAATTTTATATTGCTATTCATATGAATGTCTCAAGACAGTTTATAGTTATTCATACAGTATTATTAATCAAACAATAACAAGACTTCGTATAGTCTGAAAACAGGATAGATAATGGCCAATGGGAAAATGTGTGAACGTATATGAGATTCAAACATATGAATAAAAAGCCTGGGAAAATATTTTTATCTGCTGCCTAAATGCTAGCAAACCCCCCCCTCCCCACCCTTGGTGCTGAACTTCCTTGGCGAGGAAACGCTATAGCCAAGCCATCAAAGGAAATGTCCTCTAATCACAACTTTGAGGAATGTCTCAGCAGATGATCTTAACATACGGACAAGCTGGTTTGGGAGAAGTTATTCCTTGAGATACTGGAAAAGTATCCTGTATTGCTGCTGTTTTCTTTCTATTACACCAGTGGAACTCACTGCTAGTATATCAGGAAAGCAGATTAAAGCAATCCCAGAAAAGAATAGAGAACATTCATTTTTAGAATGGGCTAGTTCAGTGGAACTCCCTTCTGCAAACTCTGTTGACATGTCCCATTCAAGGAATTAGAATTTCCACTGGCTTTTTTGTTTTGTTTTGTTTAAGGTTATGCTAGTTTCCCCATGTGGCAGATGCTGTTCTTCAGTCCCAAGCCATTTAAGGCTCTATGGGTGAGCACCATTATCTTAAACTGGGCTTGAAAGCAGATGCAATTAACAAGTTCTTTCAAAATGTGTAAAATATGTTTCCACTAAACTCTCATTTAAAATCCTGGCTGCTTTGTGTATCAGCTGTACTTACCTTCAAAGAAAGCCTCATGTGCAATATATGGCAGTAGTTTAAAAAGGAGGTTATCAGAGCTCTTTTTAAAACTTTTGTCTGGTTCTTTTTTAATTTTTTTGTCTGAATAGATTGATAGAGTATTCTAGCATTTCTCTAATTTCGCTTCAGATCATATGTTCTGGTGTTTCATGTATAATTAGTAGTCACCCAAACAAATTAAAAGTTAGTTGCGTTATTAGCCAACATAATGCAACTAACTTGGATGACTGGTGATGTTAAATTGCCAAGACATTTTTAAATTCCACCTTGACCAAAGGTTACGATCCCAAGAACAGCAAAGCTAGTCATGTGCACCTAATGGAGATCTGGAAATTTCCCACAAAACAGGTTGCCCTATTCCACATGGTAAGCAGCTTTTGAAACTAAGGTATCTTTCACAGCTAGCTTATAATAAAGCATGGAGTTCTACTGATTGAAGGAAAATATACGAAGTTTCACTGAGCATGGCTAGAAAGAGAACACTAAAAATAGTACAAAACATGATTGTTGTCATCCTGTTAACACACACACACACCACTTGAGAGCTAAATGCAATTTTGGACTAGGAATAGCCGCCCCGAGGCTTTGTTGTGATGGGGGCGGCATAGAAATGTTTTAACTAAATAAATAAAATAGTTGTGCAACTAGTTCTTAGCTAGGGGACTGGAAACCTTTGGACAATGCAGTTGATAACATTGTGGCTTAGTATAACTAAATTGCATGCACTAAAGAAACGAAAACAAAAGTATATAGTTGAAAATCCACTGCCTCAAAACATGCTTTCTAGGAAGCCCCCAAACAAGTTTTAAGAATAGTTTTAGCTAGAACTTAGTAAACATATGTCTGGTTCCATAAGACCCCTTTCTTCTATAATTTTGAATAAAATCTGTTTTACTGAGATGTACATTCATTCCTGCTTTCAAATAGGAGCTATTAAATGATGAACACCATTTCATTTTGGCTTATTAAATTTGTTGGCGATTGCAAACAGTTTGTGCTACTTGGGTCAACAAAATATTGTGCTCTCCTAGCAGTGGGTGCAGCTTTCCAGCTGTCCTAGGCAAAGGAAGTAAGAACTAAACTCTGAGTCTGAACTGCTTTTCATTTACTTTGCTCCCCTTTGAGATGCCAGGAGCAATTTCCTCTTGAAGTCGACTTCCTCTCTGGAAATGATTTTGTTTCAAACTATGCTGAGGCTCTCTATTTCCATTCTTTGACTTGCTTTTTTATTTCCTTTCTTTCCTACTGAACCAAATCAGATCTTCTAAATGTAAGTAATCATGTTGAAGTTTTGCTGTAACTTTTTATTTCAGTAGTTTTCTCGCATCATTATCAGCCAGCCAAGAGGGACAGACAAAGCACTCATTGGTGCCCTCTGCAACAGAACACTGCTAGGGGGCTGGCTGTAAATTGACGTGGCATGGAAAAGCTCTGCTAAGTTTGTTGCACTTCATACGTTCCTGTAAGAGCAGGATGACTCTTGTAGAGTTTGTTGCCTGAAATAATTAAGGATTTTTTCCATGCATAGAAATAGGGATAGAAAACTCTTCCTTTTGCTAACTTGAGAGATGACTATTCTTTCTTTTGGTTTATGGCTAACAGTAAACAGCATCTAAAACAGATTCCTTACTTCTTTTCTTCCTCAGTCAGACAAACAGAGTCTGTGACGTTCTCCATTTCTATTAACCTCTCTCTTGCACCTTACTGCTGCCCCCCAATCCCTAGACTTCACCATGGGGTGCGGATTAAGAAAACTAGAAGACCCGGATGATAGCAGCCCTGGAAAAATATTTTCAACGCTAAAGAGACCACAGGTCGAAACAAAGACTGACTCTGCCTATGAATACATACTGCTAGATTTTGCATTAGAAGGTAAGTATCTATATCAAACTTTCATAAATGCACAATAGGAGAAGAAAACCTGGCTTTATCCTATAAAGATATATGAGGAAATGCTTGGTAATGTTTTGAATGTCAACTATTTAGTTAATGGTGTAAAAGTAAGAAAAATGTGTGCAGTGTGTTTTCTCAGAAATAAGTTTCTCACTCTTCTGTAGATAGCTGAACTTCTATCAGTATAGGTAGCTGAAAACCAGCTTCTATCAGTATAGGCAGTTCTGTTACACTTGACATTAAGCTCTACTTAAAAACTGTTCTGAAGAAGTCAGTGGGAAATAAATTTCTGCAGATTCTTTGATTTATGGTGTAACATGGGCATGAAAATAACATTGACACTGGTGCTTTTAAAAGCAGTCAGCACCCCATGGGCTATTTTCTTCTTTCGTAGGGTGTCTTGTATCTAATCAAGTGACTCTCTGTTCCTGAAAGTTGAAAACATAAACAGGCAACCCCAGATGGTTTCCCATTAAGAACAGGCAGCTCTGTTCTTTAACAGTTGCTTCAGGGACTTGCATACTTTGCACTGAGAAGTTTTTATAAAGCATCTCTGTGGCTGTACATCAGTTTTTTGGCTTACTTTCGGTAGTAACTAATTTCAGTGCCTGTTTTTGGTTCCAATAGCTAGGTTGTTTACTATAGTCAGACTCTTCATGAGACATTGTAAGCAATAATTACATTATTATGTACACATTAAAATATACATTTTCTCCACATTATAAGAATGTGTGAGGTGTATAATCCTACATTTTAGTCTGTTACCAGTATATTTTGCTTTTTTGCCTTGTATAGACTTAACTTCTTATTCAACTTTTGAATGAAACAAAACTTTGTGAGGACAAATCATAATTAATAAAAACATACTATGGATCTCACACTGAGTTGCCTAATGGATGCATTAGATCTGTAACTTCTCATTTTGAAGTCAGTTTAACATATTCTGCATTTTGTGTGGCTTCTTTTATTTAACTGTGTAATAGGTAACATTTTCAGTTCCAGAACTTCAGGTTTCTGAAAGTTCTTTGAGATTATTTCTTGTGAAAAAGGTCATTTGTTCTAAACATTATAACAAATGCGTACCAACTGAATGCAGGGAAAGAGAATAGTAAGTCACTGCACTTTCAGTGACATAGAAAAAAAACAGGATTTGAGCCAGATCTAGAGTAGCCTTCCCCTGAATGGAAGAACTCATTCTGTTTGCAGAAAGGACAGGAAACCAGTGGGAGCACCTGGTTTCATAAGGCAAATGCTAGGGCCATAGGAGACATGCTGTGGCTAACAACAGTCCTCATTTCTGTTTTTTACAGTTTACTAGTATGGCATCCATACTGTGAAGCAAAGTAGCAACGGAGGTTGTAGCTGTCCGCCATCTTTTTCCAGAATGCCCCTGGGCTGGGTTTGCTGTATTGCATATATTGGGAACATTCCACAACTCTAAGGTGTTGAATCTGATATTGAGCTCAGAATGTCAGCCTACTTTAGTTATTTTTTCCCTAGCTTATATTCTTGTAATTTCAATCCCTTTAGGTTCTTCAAATCCAGATGTTATCAAGATCAGTTCAGTTTTGGATATTGCAAAAAAAGTGGAGGAGTATTATACTAAAGGATACATAGTAGTAGCTATTCACCCTGTTTTACTTTCAATTGGACGAAGACGGCATTTTTCAGCAAGTTATATTTATCGAGTTGTACTATTACGTCTCAAATCAAGGTATGTGCTGTTGAAAATAAGTATTTACATTAAAGTACTCTGCACTGTGCAGTTTTTAGTTAGCATCTTTTTTTTACAAGCACAATAGTGACTTGTGTCATCCTAGAACCAACTGCATGTGACATTAAATCACATGGTTTGCCCAGTAACTCCAATGGTAGCTGTTTCTCCCTGGCAAATAACAAGTATTAAGCCTCCAATCTAGATTGGGAGTAGTGAGGGGCAAAAGGTTAAAGTTCCCTTTTGCCCCATGCTGGATTGGGGGTCTTCTTAATGGTATTTTTCAAAAGAAAAGGTACACACATTGGCAAACTATGTGACTACTGTGACATGTGTTTGACCCTGAAGGTTAACAGATGTTTTATGCCATAAGCTTTTGTGACTTGAGTCTACTTCCTTATAACCATGAAGCATTATTCTCCATTAACAGTAAGGTGAAAGAGAAAGGAAATGCAAAAAATGCAAACAATAACATGATTGTTGCATTCTATTTTTTTTTTTTTTGCATTTGATTTCCCTCTGATCTTATTGTTTACACTTTTTTCTCAACTCTTGTTTCTATATAAGTCTGCTATTGGAGAATACCCTTTAAGGTGTCTGATGCAATTGATTATAATCCATGAAAGCTTAGCACTAAATTTCTGGCCTTTAGCCACAAAGCCCCTTCAGGCACAAGTGTCCTTAGTCCTTTTTACTGGAACATGCTAACACAGCAAACTTTCTGGAAAAAAAATGAAGTATCTTATATTAAATCCTTATGGAAGAGTTGGGGAGGGTGTGTTTATCTGTATATCTGAACTTGACTTTTGTACACACTAAGGCTTGAAGCAAAAAAAGGGGGGAACTCTTATTTTTACAGCATTTAGTTGCATAATACTCCTGTGTGTTTATGTGTATAAAGTTTTCCATATAACTGGCATGTCTTTCCTTAAACTTCCATTACAAAGATACTGTATTGGCTTGGCATGCAGATTGCAGCATTGTTTAACTAGGATAATGTGATCTCAGAGAATGTCGTGGTCAGAACATTAATTGCTACTGTGATTTTTCTATTGCCAATTCCTACTGAATATTGTTTGACACAAACCTCTGTATTCTCATATCCTTGTTAAAATATTAATTTTCAATGGCTACATTATTATGCTTTACTTTTAATTATTTGGAAGCCCCTCATGCAACTCCAGCTGGGACACTCTCCATATTTCTTTCCTATAATTATGCCCCTTTTTTCCTCCACCTCTACTGCATCCCCTGCTTAGGCTGCCCCCCCACCACCCATATGAACCTTTTGTTTAACAGGAAGTTATCCTATGACCTCTAGACGTATGAGAGTCCATAAAATAGTGTAGATTCTCTGCTCTGAAGTTAAAGATCTATCCCCTTCATCTGAATACTCATAGTTGACCCAGAAAGAACAACACCAACAATTGAAAAAGCAACATCAGAAGGGGGAGGAAGGGGTTTTTGTGGGGAGATGGGGAGGAGACTAGAGACAGCCGGATACAAGTTTTCCTGAGGCCTCTCTAGTATCCTCCCTTTGCAAAAAAGCCCGTCTAGACAGGAAGGCAAAGATTGCCTCTGCTTGTCCTTCCTGCCTTGCATTGGACAGTCCTCAGAGGCCTCTGGGGTTCCAATCATCCAGAGTGCAGTTCTATCAATTTTGCATTTGCTTTGCTTTGTTATATTAAGTTTTGTTTTTTGGATGCTGGGTATTCTTCCATGTGGAAGTGGAGATCGATCCTTTTTTTTTCTCCAGAGAGGCCATCCTCATCCCCAAGGCTTCTCCTTCATCTTTTTCAAGCATCTTTACCCCGCTATTGTTACTGAACTTATAGGAAGTTTGTACAAAGATAAAAATCAGTTTAATAGATTTTTGTGCCACAGCTATTATTCATTATTATGTTGGATTGGAAACAGACTTAGAAAGCTTTGGCTGTTAAGTGGTATAGAAATGTAATAAATAAATGGAGAAGATACACTAAAATCAACAGGATTTACTTTAGTTGTGACTAACATCCAACAGATTTCAATGGGTACATTTTAAGTATGAGTAAGTCTAAATCCAGCCCATATTTATAGGTTTATGTGTTGCTTTTCAGCATTGAGTGAGCAATTAAGTACCTAATTTAAATCAGTATTTAAATCATGAGTCTAAAACATCTCAGGAATTAAAAATTAGAGGAATATGATTACTTTAGTCTATAGTAACATCTCTAAATGCCTGTAACCATATGCTGAAAGTTGTGTGTTGGATGATGCGCTGGATTTAAACTGGGGAGACTCACTCTTAGATCACTGCTCAGTCATCAGGTTAACTTGAATGATTTGGGGCCAGTTTCTTTCTGTCATTCAAATCCACCTCATACCATTGCTGTAGATGTAATAATTCTGTAAGGTTGAGGGCTATATATACTGCCTTGAACTCAGACCAAGATGGAGATAAAATATCAAAATAGTCAAATAATGACATATATTAACCTTATTACATTAGTGTTTCTAATACTGTTCCATTTTAAGAGCCCATTTTCTAAAATATATAGTAACAAAATACAAATTTGTGTAACTGTAACACAAGGCTACATAATGTGACCTATCAAATTAAGTGAAAGGGAATCAAGACAGAACAAAAGTTTTATCTTAATTCATCCAGTTAAGATCACATTATAGTCATGGGAAATGCACTGCTTAACATGACACAAGAATCTTACCCTTTCTCTATATCCTTAATATTGGCATGCAACAAAGAAGTAATTTTTTGCTGTTGAAATTGTTTTCCCATTTACTGATATTGGTAATGCTATTTTTGGCACTTCAAGCTTTGTACACTGGGGTAGACAGGCCTCCCCCAAAAAAACCTTGTCACATAATTGCTTCTGCTACTACCTTTGTATTTGCCCTATTTGTGAACTGTCTAGAGAGCTTTGGCTGTTAGGCAGAATAGAAATTAAATAAAAATGAATAAATTTGGCTCTAGCCATTTCGCCTCATGAAATTTTATGTATACATTTGAGGAGATGTCACTGTCATTATAAAAAGTACAGAAACCCCTTCAAGTACCCCTTCAAGTATTACAAGTACAGAAACTCCCTCAAGATGAGAACAGAAATTTTAATGATGCAGTCATGCTTATTACATATTGACTGCATTGGAGCTTAAATATAAACTATGGTTTATTATTACATAAATGAATGTTGATAAACATCAGCAGGGATTACAATTCCCATCCTACTTCTGTGGCACAGCTGCAAAGAAGAGATTGGAAATGTGTGTTTCTGTTTTTAACTAACTGCAATTTAGCATTATTGTGAACTCACATAAAATTATATTTTTATTTTTACAGATTTCTAAATAAGCTAAGTTCAAACTGTAATGTGTGGATCTGACTTGTTTGGCTTGTAAAATACAGTGAATATTAGCCGTAGTTCAGAGTTTGGAAAATCAAATGAAACATTCATCTGGGGTTAATAAAGAACAGAGGCTGTGCTGGAAAAGCAGAGGGAAATGCACAAGCTCAGGGTTTGTGTACATAAGAACCACATTGGTTGTGCTTGCACATAATACTAAACCATAGCTTAGCATTGCAAAGATGGGCCACTGTGAGTTTTGGGCTTATGTATTCACTCCGTCCTCCAGGAAGGCAATTGGAAATTTCAGTTTTAATATAACCACAGTTTCTCATTATGTCCTGATCATGTTAACTTGCTTACTAAAACAAGCCAGCTTCATAAGCAAGAAGTTATTTTCCACAATGATGAGTTTTTAGCTTTTTATGAACTATAAGGGCACATTTTATCTAAAATCTTGACCTAGTAAGTTGTGTTTTATAGGGATGCTTTTAGAGAGCATTGGCACACAGGGATTTGTGACATGATTCTGTGCAGAAGGGAGTTGGTTTTTTTAAAATAGGAAGTAGGAGTTATTCTAACATCTTGTCTTTAGTTTTGTCTGTTAGCAAAGCTTCCTCCACACATTATCACTCTTGCAAGCTATCTAACCTGAGTAACAAAGAGCCAGAATACCAAATAAATAGACATGATGCTACACACTCTATTTAAAAAATTAATCAGGGTTTTTCCTCACTGCAATAAGAGTGCAATCAGATGTTTTGCATGGCAGGACTACAGTATAGAGCAAGGAAAAGTTTAACCCTCCCAGCCATAATCATAACTAAATTCCACCCCTTCTTTGTCCCCTGCATACTGTTAATTGGCTTCAGATATGGGGGAAAAAACCAATTAGCACTGTTTAGAGGCTTTTATTCCTAGGGCCAATAGCAGCATGGTGGCTTTTGTTGGTATTGTGACTCTGCAGACACAGGGCCAGTATTGTCCAGCCTTGGATCAACAAATAATGCTAAGTTATAGCTCTCTTTACCACAGACAGCCTTGTCAGTGGCTGCGAATGATCAGGATCAGGGTTCATTTCATTTCATGTATATCCCACCTTTTTCTGTGAAGAATTTAAGTCACCTTACATAATACTTCTCTCTGTTTCATCCTCACAACAACCCTGTGAGGTAGATTAAGTTGAGAATTTGAGAATAGCCCAAAGTGAACTTCATGGCTGATTGAAGACTAGAACCTGGCTCTCCCAAGTTTCTAGTCCACTCTACCTACTATGCCTCACTGAGGATGCAAGATTAGAAACCAACTAGGTTAAAAATTACCTTCTCACTTCTTGTGATCCTTACAAAAAACACACACACCATGCCAGCTATTTCATTTTTAAAATCTAATATGTTTTATAATAACAACAGTATGATTGGACAGTCACATATTTTAACCAAGAAAATTATATATGTTAATTTTATTCCCTGTTGTTTTATTCCTCACCCACTTGGGCATTAAGAAAGAGTTGAATGATAGAGCAATGGGTTTGGTGCCAACTTCAAATCAGATCAATCTGTTTGTCATTCAGAGTGTTAAAAGTGTGCATCATCCAAATAAATGTTTGGACAAGGGATTCAAAATACTGCCTCCAAAATTTAGTTGAATAATTTTTTTTCAGTGTGGAATATTAGATAGTAACCTCTTCATTTATACAGTGCCATCTGCTATATAAATTAATGTGTGTCTGGACCAGGGCCTGGCCAGCCCTACAAGTGTCTGTAGCACCAGGTACTCCTCTGCAGACACCTGCAGGGAACAGTTAGGAAGCAATTGTGTGGTGCAGCTGGTGGCCCTGGAGACCAACATAACAGGCTTCTCTGCAGCACAGCAATGCAAGCTGTCCTCTGCACTCCTTGTATTTTGACTCCCCACATCTCCATCCCTCTCTGCTTGTACCCACCTTGCCCCAGCTGTGCTCCAGCATTCCTGTTTGCTCCCATCTTGTTCCTGTCAATCCTGCCTTGCTCCAACCCATTCCTGTTCTGCTCCTGCCATTCATTTACCTGCCTCTGCTATGACTGCTCATTTGGTAATGTATCTCTCTCACTGTGTTATACCAAACTGTTCCCTTCCATGCTTCTGACCACAGACTGCTGACTGTACTCTTAGCCCTTTGCCCCTCAACAAAGCTATGGACTCCCACTAGTGCCAGTGCACTTGACACAGCGTTCGACCTGTTCCCACCTGCCACCCACAGCCCAGCCCTCATAATATGTACAAATCAAACACCAGTGACATGAACACTGATAGTTAATAGTTGGCAATCACAAAAACTATGGAGCAAAATGCAGTGTCCATTCAGACAAAAGGACTTTTCACTCCTTTCCTGCAGGAGAGGAAAGCTGCAGGCCCCATTTGCCCAAATCAGTTCTAGAAAGTCCTCCAACCCTCCAGAACAGATTTTGTGATCACAGAGCACTGCAAGGGGAAGGAGATTTTTTTCCCATTCTTCATTCTGCTGATGAAAACAATTCTGTCTGTGAAAGGGGTTAGATACCACTTTAAGTCTTTTCACAGTTTTGGTCAAATTATACTTTCCAAAACTTACCATCACCCTACAGAGGCAGTTGAAGTAAGCACCCCTTTCTGCATTGTGATTAAAATATTTTTCATAATGTTACTTGCAGGTCTATAGGAACCTTTTTACCCACATATCTGTGTTTTTTATCTTTGAACAGTGTGTGAAATACTGATTACCAAATCAAATATTTTTAAGAACTCAGTGGTTAAATCTGTTCCAAGTAGCATGTTTAGGCAACTTAAAAACAAGACCCACTGGAGTGTTACTCAAACAAAGATGTGCCAAGACTTAATTCATACGTTTTTGGATTGAAGGAAGTGCTCACCAGCAGTTTGTACAATATACAGCAAACTGCAACAGAGGCCGCTTTCTTTTTACATTCTAGCCAGAAGCAACCACCATCCAGACAACAAAGATACCCCAGGCTTGTGATTGAAGAGTGTACCTTAACATATGAAAAACTAACAAACGAGGTAGTAAAGGGACTGCTAGAAAAGGTATGCCTGTCTTCACAATTATATCTTGATTTTCTTTGCTTCTAGAGTCTTGATCCTGTGACCCTATCTTCACAAATATATGTTCCATTTTACATTTAACTTACTATTTGCTTACATGTTTACTCAAAAGTAATTTTTTACTTATTTGTCTGGTTTTTACTGCTCACTAAACCAAACTCCATGAAGTTTTGGAAAGTTAAGAAGACATGGATATGCTTTAATTTCCTCCCCTAAGGGAAGGCAATCACTGTTACTATCGACCCCATATCTGCCCCAGGTTGGGTAGGTTGCATGGTGATAGAACAATATGGTAGCAGTAAATATGGAAATTGGCCTCCCATTCTTTTCACTATGTGGGCTTCTCTCCTTTTCTCCCAAATTTGACCCAAGTATCATAAGATTTTAAGACCAAAGATGGGAAACTGCTTCCATTGCTTTAGAAAATGAATGTTCTGTACAGTTCTACTGAAGTTGTCCTACTGAATAACGTACAGTAGGTTTCCTCAACCTAGTGTCTTCCAAATGTTTTGGACTTCAACTCTTCTTCGTCATGACCTCTGTGCATCACACATATGGGTGCTGTGCCTGCACAGTGCCTTTGGCCGGAAGATTACAAGCTAACGGTTTTTGGCGGGAAAGCTCTGCTCCCCCTTCCCCATGGCCTATAAAGAGCAGAGCGTCCGCCATTTTGTTCAGTCTTTGCGACCGCCATTCGCTGTGCCTCATGCCACTTTCGATTGTCGCTCTGACTGTTACTTGTATAGTACTCTTCTTCTCTATTCTTCTCCCAGTTATTATATCCCTGTTAGTTCTCGTTGTCTCTATAGTTCTTGTTAGTTCTGTAGTTCTATCGTTCTACCTTTCTTTTGGTCTTCTATAAAACAAAAACAAAAAATATATTCTTACCCTCTGCACTGTCTTCTTTTTTTCCCATTTCTTGTGATGGCGCAGCAAGCGGCTTTCTGCAAATGCGCAGAATGCGGGTCGAAGATGTCTCCATCTGACCCGCATGACCTATGCCTCCTCTGCCCAGGGGAGGGGCATAGGACCGACAAGTGCTTTCACTGCCTGGCCTTCTCTAAGCAGGCCAGGAAAAATTGTGAGAACCGCCAACGGAGGCTCCCATGGGATCAGGCTCTCATGCAGTCCGACCCACTCGTCGTCGCTCTGAAGCCTGGCCCTACCTCGGTGGTCCCACCCTCACGCCCTTCGGATGAAGGCGCGTCTACCATGAGGGCTCCACCCGCTTCTCCGAAAAAGAAGCGTGAGAAGCGCAAACATGCTGATACCAAGAAATCAGCGAAGAAGGCCAGGAAAGAGAAGCCTCCTAAACTGACCCAGAAGTTGAAGGACCCGGAGCGCCCACAGCACCGTGACTCAGGTTCGATGGCCGCCTCGGTACCAGTGGCAGCTACTGTACCGACCCCACCTGAGCCGGTACTCCAGGCAGCTATGAGGGTTACCCCCCAAGGGTCCCCTCGACATGTGGCCGACCTTCCCACCGAGCCGCTGCCAACTCTTCAGCGGAGGTCGATTTGTGATGGGGAAATTCAAGACTCCCCCCCCCCCAGGGCTAGGTCACCCACGCCTATGCCCATGACCACGACGGAGGCGAATGTGGTCATATCCCCACCTAGGGTTCGCAGGAGCCGCTCGAGGGATCAGCGATCCGAGAGATGGCATCGCTCCTAATATCCATCCTGGGGCGAGCCATACTCTAATGGGTACTATCCCGCACCGAGGGATCGGTCCCTACCACCCTCCTGCAACCGCCCACTGTCGTTGGATCCGAGGTGCACGTCCCCTATTCCTCGGGATGAAAGTAGCCGGTCCGTCTCACCGGTGGAGTCCTCCTCTTTGGCTCCCCTGTATTACGGCGCAGACTCTGATGACTCGGATGTCGATTCCACCTCTCCCGACGTCGCTGTGACCTCCCAGGGCCCTGCGTCACCAGACAAGTCCCATGTCTCCTTCGTGGAGCTGATGTCCCGGCTTGTCCAATCCCTGGATATCGACACTGTCTGACGTCAGGGACCTTCGACGGACAAAATTTATGACGTCGTCCAGGGGGAGCAGTCCACCTCGATCGTCCTGCCTTTGATTACCACCCTACGGCAGGCAATGACACAACCCTGGGACTTGCCTTCTCACCCTCAACCCACTTCGCGGAGGTACGAATCCATGTACCTGGTTCGGGAGGAGGACATCCCATTCCCCCTCCGCCTCCCCAAGCTGAACTCAGTCATGGTGGAGTCCTCCCAGGGTAGAGAGGCAAGAGGCCACACCGCTCCGCGGGATAAGGAGGGCCGTAAGATTGACTCCCTGGCCAGGAGAGTCTATGCAGCTTCAGGCCTGGGGCTGCGTATTTCGAACTATGAGGCGACGTTGGTGAGGTACCAGTACTTTATAATGCAACGCCTCCACAACATCGTCTCGGCCCTCCCAGATCACCAGGGCGACCTGGCCAAGGTGCTAATAAAAGAGGCGATGCAGGTCGCCGTTCAGCAGTTGTCCACAGCCAGGCACCATGTGGACACCAACTCAAGAGCCTTGGTTGGTGCTGTCTCTCTCTGCAGGCATGCATGGCTGAGGAGCGCCAACTTCCAGGAAGAGACTAAGCGCCTAATTGAGGAAATGCCCTTTGACGGGTCTGGGCTTTTCCACTCCAAGACAGATCATAAACTCAAAAAACTCCATGAATCCCGCATGACAGCCCGACGGATGGAGCGCCAGTCGCAACCAAGGCGTAAGTGAGCATGGACCCGTCCGCCCTATAGACAGCCTTACCAATCCAGGCAACAGCCTCAGCACAGGCAGCAGCAACAACGCTGCCGACAACAGCCCCAGCAACGCTTCCAACAGGGCTGCCACTGATATGATGACAGGAGGCAGCGTCGACGGGATGGGCAAACCATTCCTCTAACCTATCCTTTACCCACCCCCCTCTCATCTGGGGATCAGCTGCGAAGCCAACTCCCCATTTGGGAGTCCATTACATCTGATCAGTGGGTATTGTCCATCATACAGCACGGCTATCAGATAGAATTCGACATCGTTCCCCCATCGAGTCCGATCCGGTTTATATCATGCTCACCGGTACTGCTCGATGAAATACAACAACTTCTTTGTAAAGGAGCGATTCGTCAAGTAACTCAACATGACGGACTTCACGGATTCTACTCCAGATATTTTATGGTCCCCAAGTGGGATGGTGGCTTACGTCCGATTTTGGACTTACGTAATCTGAATCGATTCATCGTGACGAAAAAGTTTTGAATGACCACCCTCCAAAATATTTTGCTGCTGCTAAGGAAAGAGGACTGGTTTGCCTCATTGGACTTGAAGGACGCCTATTTCCATATTGTGATCCATCCCAATTATAGGTGTTTCCTTCGCTTTGCTGTTGCTTCCGATTTGTACGAATTTACGGTTCTACCCTTCAGTTTGGCCACCGCTCCGAGAGTGTTCACTAAATGCATGGCCCCTGTCTGCGCTTTCCTACGCCTCCAAGGCATACAAGTTTATCCTTACCTTGATGACTGGCTCCTGGTTTCCAGGTCTAGGGAAGAACTCCTCACTTCCCTTCGTATTACCGGTGCCTTATTGGACAATCTGGGCCTCTGCATTAATACCAAGAAATCTTCTCTTCTTCTGGTACAGAAGCTTACATTCATCGGAGCCCACTTGGATTCGACGTTGGAAAAGGCCTTCCTCCCTCAGGACAGACAACTGACTCTTGCTTGCCACATCCATCGAATGCGACGAGATGGGACAGTTCCGGCGAAGTCCATCCAGAGGCTTCTAGGTCATATGGCTCCCTCTGTTGCTGTGGTGCCACACGCCAGACTTCGACTTCGTCCTTTGCAGCTATTTCTCAACAAAGTGTTCCATCCACAGAGAGATCCACTGTCGAAGTTGCTCCGAGTTCCATCCTCAGTGCTCCACTCTCTCCTATGGTGGTCGGTCCCGGCCAGTTTGACTGTTGGGGTCCCCTTCAGGCCCCGATGCCCATCGATAACTGTCGGTACTGACGTGTCTCTTCTGGGGTGGGGAGCGGTATGCTCCGGCCTGTATACCCAGGGCACGTGGACTCATCAAGAATCCACGAATCATATCAACTTCCTGGAGCTCTTGGCAGTATTCAAAGCCCTATGCTCTTTCGAGGATGTTCTTCAACATTGGGTTGTTCAGATAACGTCGGACAACATAACCACCATCTCTTATCTAAACAAACAAGGTGGGACAAAATCTCCGACCCTGGCCAGACTTTCTATGCAGATCTGGGACTGGTGCATTCCGAGAGACATTACACTAATGGCAGTCCATCTGGCTGGTACGGACAATGTGGAAGCGGACCTTCTCAGCAGGCGCATACTTACCTCTCACGAATGGGAACTAGATCCTCAGACACATGATGATCTTTTCCATCGCTGGGGGTTTCCCGACGTGGACTTGTTCGCCACCCAGCAGAACAAGGTGTGCGAGACTTTCTGTTCAAGAGCGGGGATCAGGTGCGAATCCCTAGGGGACACCTTCATGATCCCATGGAACAACCTGAATTTTTACGCCTTCCTGCCGATTCCTCTTGTGATGAGAGTCATAGTGAAGATTGTATACGATTGGGCCACGGGGATACTGATTACCCCTTGGTGGCCATGGCAACCTTGGTTTGCCACACTGCTCGACATCTCTCACAGGGAATACCTTCATCTTCCACTGCTTCCGTACCTCATAACCCAGCAGGATGGTGCGCTTCGCCATCCAGATATACTGTCGTTGAAACTAACAATGTGGCGAATCCGATAGTTAATTTTGCTACATCTGTACCGACGGCAACTTCAAGTGGTTCAAATCCTGCCCTTGAATCCGCTGCATTCAGAAACTTCGAATCCGCTGAGGTCGATGCTGCTTCCTCTTTCGATCCACCAGCACTGTCGGACTGATGATTGTTCCACCGAATCTGATAACCTTGCATCCGGATATTCAACACATCTTGGATTCCGCTCTAAAGCCTTCCACATGGAAGTCTTATGCGGCTAAATGGAGAAGATTTTCCACCTTTGCCGAGTCTCATTCGTTCTCTCCACTTACATCATCGATACACCAAATTCTTCAGTTCCTCTTAGAACTACACCACTCTGGACTGAAACCATCTTCGATTAAGGTGTATACGGCGGCAATTGCCTATCATTATGGCATGCTGGATGGATCGTCCATCTTCTCTCAACCTACTATTAAGAGGTTTCTGAAGGGGCTTTATAATCTGAATCCATCAATCAGGCCAGTAATGCCTACCTGGAGTCTCTCTGTTGTTTTGCAAGTGCTTACAAGAGCTCCTTTCAAACCGTTAGCAACAGTCGATTTACATCTTGTTTCGTGGAAGACAGCATTTCTAGTAGTGGTTACCTCGACCCGAAGGGCCAGTGAGCTCTGCGCTCTCCGCGTAGACCCACCTTACCTCAACTTTCATAGAGAAAAGGTCGTCCTGCGGCTTGATCCATCTTTTCTTCCAAAGGTGTCCACTCCCTTTCATATGGGACAAGATATCAATTTGCTGGCCTTCTTTCCGTCTCTGTCGACTCTGCTAGAGAGATCATTGCACTCACTTGACATTCGGCGCTGTTTAGCCTTCTACAGATCTAGGACGGAATCTATTCGGCATTCAAATAGACTTTTCGTTAAATATGCTACCAAAGATCAAGGCACCCCGTCACTCCGCAGAGGCTTTCTAAGTGGATAGTCCATACCATCTAAGATTGAGTTATCCACAGCTCCTCGAAGCCATTCGACTAGGGCTGTTGCTGCCTCCTCTGCCTTCGCATCAGGAGTACCGATTGACGATGTATGTCGGGCTGCTACTTGGGCGAACCCTTGCACTTTCGCCAAACATTATCGTTTAGATGTTCAGGCTCTACAAGATTGCTCCTTCGGCAGAGCCGTTCTTTCATCTGTTCTTCGTTGAGGACACCTCCCCTCCTCCATTATGTTAAGCTTGTTAATCTACCCATATGTGTGATGCACAGAGGCCACGACGAAGAAAAGCAGGTTGCTTACCTGTAACTGATGTTCTTCGAGTGGCCATCTGTGCAGTCACACAACCCACCCGCCGGCCCCGCTCGGTGTCAGTGAGTGGACATTTTCGTCGGTACTGAACGTTTCCATTTCTTCTTGGTACCGATATCGTTTACAGTAGGAATATTTTTTCCACATGGGGGCGTACGTTCGGTTGTCAAAGACTGAACAAAATGGTGGACGCTCCGCTCTTTATAGGCCATGGGGGAGGGGGAGCGGAGCTTTCCTGCCAAAAACCGTTAGCTTGTAATCTTTCAGCCAAAGGCACTGCGCAGGCACAGCACCCATATGTGTGACTGCATAGATGGCCACTCAAAGAGCAACAGTTACAGGTAAGCAACCTGCTTTTCTCAGCCCCAGGCAACATTGCCAGTGAATCTTGGGAGTTGTACTCCAAAACATCTGAAGGGCACCAGGTTGCAGAAGGCTACAGCAGAGCTTTCAGATTCTAACCCTGAATATTGTTAACCTCAGAATGCCAGTATTTATACAAGTCCTGATTCAGCTGATAGAGAGCCAAAGTGCTATTTCATATATGATGAATTTCCTACACAACCGTAAATTTGCTGGGGAAAAAATCCATGTCTATTGATATATGTGAACACTGAACATATAAAATGTCTGTTTTCCTAGGTGTGCATGCTTTGGAAAGCCAAATATGCAACAATTTCATAATGCTTGCACTCAGGTTAAAGTATACCTGACCTGTTTCCATACATTGGTGTACAGTTTTTCCCTGCACCCATTTACTTGTATAGTAAAACCATATACAAACTGACACTTGCTCTGTCATTAGTTACCACTTTCTAAATTCAGTCCATTTAATTAGAACTGTCTTTGTGAAAAACACAGATCAATGGTGCTGCCAAAAGAGGAATGAAATTCGTTGGATTTGTAACACAGCCTTGTCCTCAGTCTAAAATCTGCAACGGCGCAAACATGGATGGGAATACAGAGTCTGATACAACACCATGCAGAAGGAATAGAGAGCAGAGGCGGCATGAGTCAGAGGAAAATGTTAAAACCTGGAATGAAGGGACATTGAGTGGCCAGTCCTCTGAGAGTGGAATAGAAGAAGAAATTCAGCCAGACAGTGGTCATTCACAAGAGACTGATTTTCAAGATGGGAAAGAAAGTCCTAGCCCAACTAAACCGAGGAAAGGAGAAGGTAGATAAATGCCTATATTTGTTCTACATTTACTGAAAGTAATTTTAAATAGTTAAAAGTAATTTTGGCAAAGGGTCACCATCTGAGTTAAGAGCCTCGTGCATTGGCTTCTATATTAGCCAATGATGATAATGGCCATGCACAGCTTTGATTGGCAGCATTTGCTGTGTATACCTTACTCCTTTTTAGATATAGAAAATTTCACCACACTGTTGTGCACTGCTGTAACATTGAGAGTCAATTTCTGTAATGGGCTCTAAGTGAAGTTGCCCATGAAGACAGCTCAGAATTTCTGCAAGTTCATATGCAAAGGAGAGGCTTTCTCAGCACTGGTGCCCCAGTGAATGCCCTCAACAGAGATTCAAAATGTACATCACTTCTTTACATAGGGAGGAAGTTGCAGTTTAAATTACTTCTCTTAATTATCTGTCAGCTTGGAGAGTCCATTGTTTTCATACTGAGAGAATACTATCCCACTTGAATTGAAATAGTACTCAGATGTGATGCTGAACATTCCTGCTTGTTCTTTCTAATTTAAGTACTCTGTTTTTAACATAAATGTTAAACATTTTAAGTTAAATGTTGAAGTTATTCAGTTCCTACAATTCATCATTATCACTAACATCTTTATTTTCTAATATCTCCTTCTCAGATAGCAAACTGTATACAGTCTTCAATGTATATGAGGATGATTCCATCTGTTGGACCTATCATGAGGGCATTTTGTCTTTAAAAGTATCAAGGAAAGGGCCTGTGATTAGTACTTTGGATGCTGATTGGCTAGAATTAACTACATTTTATTACAAACAAGGGCTGTCATTAATTGACTCTTTTGTATGCTGGGACACTTCTAAAGGTAAGTAGAACAACATAATTAGTCTTTGCACCCAGAAAATGAGCATATTAGTATGATTGATAGCACCAGAGGGAAGGAACTAGCAAATGGAGTGCATCTGCTCTTTAATCTCCATTGTACAATAGCAGGAGAGGAAAAGGAGATAGGGATTGTGAAGGCAGAGACAGAAATGAAGTAAATGCTGATTTTTCAGCAAGCTATCATTCCCCCTTCCTGCAAATTCATTTTTCTGAGGATCAGATAGCAAAAGTTGTGTTGCACCAGTACTGCTTCTGATAGTCTGAATGCATTCCTCCCAAAACGTGCTTTGTGTCAAGAGCTCTGAACTTATTTGAATGTGCTCTGAACTAGCCTCTGTCTCCAGAAAAAATTGAAAAAAGTGCAACCTAATTCATTGTATGTTTGCTCAGAAGTAAATCCTATTGACTTCAGTGGGGTCTTTTTGCAATTAGCTGTGTGCAGAGCATGCATGTATAGCAGAAGCCATCTCCCAACAAACAGCATATCAGTTCATAATGGTGCCCATTTTGCTAATAAAAATAAGAACTATGGTATAGCTGTGGGCAGGGTGCAAGAAGACTCTGCAAAACTTGGGAGCATGACAGGTATTGCACACTTCCAACTTTTCCTGTTTGAAGGAGGAAAAAACAAGGCCTGTCTCCATCTGTTCCTTCCTTATTGACTACTCTGGTTGCTAAATAGAATCACACAAAAACCCAAAATGGCATTGAAATGATGCACTGAATAGAACTGATCCTATCAATGAATTCCTCTACACATTATGGTGACAATGTGGAACAGCTGTCACACAGGTTACTTCTGGTAGCTTCTATCTGGTCATTATAACATCAGGATTAGATACAAGAAAAAAATTGCAAAATCTGCAAGTTGTAACACAATTCAACGTAGGAAGGCTTTTGCTAGCTTTATATTGGAGCTTTCTAGTTTCTCATTAAGGGCCAAACTAGACATGATGTCACTCACATGATGAGCAATTGCATGGATGAGTTTTTTTAAGTAAGCAGCAGCTGCAGTGATCCCAGTCCTGATCAGGACCCCTGCAGTGGATGGCTTGACCCCTTCCCTTCCAAGTGTGGTCCTGTGCCAGATCTGAGTGAGCATCCCAGCAGTTTACATTTGGAGAAACACCTCAATTGGTACAAATGAAACATTTCTTCCTATGCAAATAGGAGATGGGAAACAGGATTGGGGCTGCAGTGGGGGCAGGCTCAATCCACTACCTGGTTCCAGGGTCACAATCTGGATTAGTCCCTATTTATGTTTTTTTTTTTTAATCTGTACATTTGCTTGCTGCCAGAATGGCATCATGTCTACTTTTACCTTAACTCATTTCTACCTTAACATACCTCTTAAGAAAGAGGTATTTAATTTAATATTTATAGAACAGAATAACCTTTTGGTTGGTCTCAGTTTGGCAATGGAAAACATGACCTTAATTCTTAATTCATTATTTGAAATACAGGGTGAATGAATGTGGGGGAAAGCTCTTTATGTCTCCTCTTTCAGAATTAATAAAAAGTTGATGTGCCTGGATTCACAGTAGTTGTGAAGGAGCAGGGAAAATAGAGTGTGAGAACTAAGGAAACAGAAGTAAGTAAAACTGATGATCCTAGAAACATTAGCATTGTAAACCGTCTTGAGATTTTCTGTGAAAATAATAGACGGCATAGAAAAATTTTAAATCAATCAATCAATAAAAAATCAATAAGGGCGACTTAATTTATACTGTTAAATTATATTGTTTTATATTATGTTACTTATTGATGATTGTGAGCCGCCCCGAGGCTTCAGCGAATGGGGTGGCATAGAAGTTCCCTAAACAAACAGACAAACAAACAAACGTTTTTTTAACGAAGGGGAAAAGGCTGTGGTAAAAAAGATAGCAAAAACTTGAACAATCCCTTTGCAGTAATAATGGAAAGAGCTGTTGAAATTAGTTATATCCCCTTTCAGGTTTGGCCTAACCCAGAGGATAAAGTAGCCCACTTCAGACAGCAGTTTTTGAAGTACTATTAAACTGCCACAAATGGTTAGTGATAATTTATTTTACCCACCATAAGGTGCCATTGGGATCAAAACATCTTGGGCTGTTTCTTTCCAATTTGTACATTTGTCAAGTGATGCCTAGCATTTTATCTCATCTTAGGCAGCTTATCTAATATGTTAGCACAGATGAAATGAAATATTTCATAGGAACATTACTGAAGCAGGAAGTACATAAACTGTTTGGGTGCTTGTATGCTTCGAATTCAGTATGATTGTTTGCCAGCCGAAAGCTAAATGTTCTTTAAGCTAGCATACTAATTTTCAGCTACGATCCATTTCTTTAATTGCCCTAGATGCTGCATAGGGTTTACATATATTATGTATTTTACATATATTCAATTCTAAGGAGTTGGAAGGAGCCAGTAAGGCCATTGGGTCCAACCCACTGCTCAGTGCAGGATTCTGAGTTAGAGTATCCCTAATGGATGGCACAGCCATTGTAAGTGAGAGCACAGTCTCCCTAGGTAATTGGTTCCATGAGGCAATTTTTAATGTGACAGCGTAGACATCTATTAATGCATTCCCAGCCATCCCTCTTAGCTAACTAATCTTCTGCATATCATTTTAATATATCATGTCCATATTTGGAATTTACAAAGAACAAACATCACCTTTACCAAGTAAAAAATTTTTTTTGAAAGAAACATTTACAGTATTTGGACTGCACTAGCTGCTAGCAGTGTTTCTGTGACACAACAAATTGACATCCTTGAATATAGATCTGAATTTTTTTAATGTTGTAAGCCGCCCCGAGGTTTCGGCAAGGGGCGGCATAGAAATGTTATAATAATAATAATAATAATAATAATAATAATAATAATAATAATAATAATGTAAAAGACAGTCCAGCCCTCTGAAGCAAAATAGGATGGGAAATACTACTGCTAAAACAGTGCTTGATTTACTGGTGAGCATCTATTATTTTGCTTTTGAAGCACTGAAGGATTCAGGTCCAACATTAGGGCTGAAGAATGTATGATAACTGTCTTTATGTTGCATCTGTCTGCCTAAAGTTTAGATTGAAGATCATTAGAAAATTTACAGTTATTAAGAAGTGTCTAATTCTTTTATTAATCCCTTTAGAACAGGGTGGACAACTTGAGAACCTCTGGATTTTTTGGCCTACTAAGCCCATAGCTTTACCATTAGCTGTGTTGACTGATGGGAGTTGTAGGCCAAAGCCTCTATAAGACTGCAAATTGCTTACCTTTGCTTTAGAATGAGACAGAGAAGAAAAACAAATGAAATTGATGAACATCAGAAGTAGATAAATTATGAAAAACTTTCATACCTCTATAATTTAGTTCCATTTCTTCTTATTTCTCTAGCTGATCACTTGCCCAAATCATTAGAAGGCTTATTTATATATGAAGAAGAAGGCTCAGGAGTTCCAGGTTCAAACAGGAAAGGAAATGATGCAATTGTTGTAGAACAATGGACTGTCATTGAGGTAATTCCCCATTTATGTTAGTCTCAAAGATTTCTCTCAAGGATTAACACACCCCCAGTTCAGATTTATATTTCTTAAGTCAGTTCAAGTTAATAAATCAGTGTTAAGAAGGCCATACAAAGGAGATAATTTAAATATACTTGACACTTCAGTTGGAAGTTGCTTTCAGTTGTAAAATTCAATTACCATCTTTTTATACATCTGTATGTTCTAGCCATCAAGATGGTCACAGAACCTGTAAGACAGTCACTAGGGGAATATTGATAGTATAGATCCCAGGCAGGACTACAGTTATGTACTAACTGAAATGTTTTCGGGCAAGAGTATTGGGAGTTTGCTATAGATATATGTTGCAAATGCTGTATCATACTACATTCATGCTTGAATGCTATGTACTATTTTATTTTAGGCTATCTTGACAATCCAAAAATAGGCTTGTCTTAGCTTTATTTTGTTTTTATAATACATAATTCCCTGACATGGGTATTACCCATTCTGTTGCTGAGAGCAGAAATGTATGGCAGCAGCATCTGCTGGGGAAAAAAAAAACTTTCTAAAAATGATGAAATTGGTTTCTTAGAACTGAACACATGCAGAAGCTGTCTTGTGATAATTCCCAACCAAAGTACTTTCACAAAATGTTGGTTCTTGAAATAAGCTTCTCTGGTTTAAAGAATTGATCTGCTTTTCTAACCATCATGCCTTCTACTTTTCTATTACACATTGTTTCAAATGACTAATAAGATTCCTTAATTATGGTAGTGTGGTGGCCTTTATTAAGTAGCATAATTGAGAAATGAAAAGCTATTAATAAAATTGGTTCCCTTCCAATTAATCTGTAGGGATACAAGAAGGAGAAGGTATGTATTTGGGCTGACGTTACTCGGAATTTTTCCACAGCAGCCATTTGCTCTCCTGAAGAAGCAAATTTTTTGCTCTAAAATATAACTTGTTTCTACAGCACCAAGTGTGGCTGTGACAGAAGCTTTGGAAAAGCCTGAACTGTTTGCACTGTGCTCCAAAACACAAATGGCTGTGCTTGAGCAGAGCCAGCATTCATTCAGAAAAATTATATAAACAGAACAAGATTCCTTGTTTGCTTTCAGTTTAGCCACATACTTAATGCCAATAAGGACATGGTACTAAATCAGTACTTTGCCGGGGGGGGGGGGGGGAATGGGTTTAGAGCCCAAAGCATCAATAACGGAAAAGAGAGGGTGCACAAAAATAGTACTATTGGCCCAAAGTTTTTTGTGTTAGTACTCATCTTCAGGAGTGCTATAATTAAGAATAAGCATTTTATGTAATAACATACAATTGGAAGAAGTATACGTTATAATAAAAATGAAATAGATATTTCAAATATCAAAGGAACAGGACAAAAATATTTTTAAAATGTTTCTAACATTTCCATAGACATAAAAGTATGCATTAACAATAAAGTAATAAACAAGAAACACACACCCTTGAATTCTGTGGTGTCCTTTGTAATGAAATAAAGTGGCAATTTTATACCCACTTCCCTGGGATGAAGTGTCATTGAATTCAGCGAAGTTACTTCTGAATACACTTGCAGAGTAGGCCTTGCACTGTAAATTACAGTGAGCCTTATATAGTCTGTGCTGCTTTATGGAATAATGCTTTGGTCCCTGGGCCTGGCTTGGATTCCCAGCTTCAAGGGCAGAAGCCACATGGCAAGATGGGGCCTCGGATTGAGTTCTTCCTCACCTTCTGAGTGGGAAAAGAGCATTAGCCACTCTCCAAGGTCAGGAAAGTGACCTCAGAGAGGGAGAGGAGGCAGTGAGGGGAAGAGGGTGGGCCAGGTGTAGGCTGTCCTACAGCTGTCCCAGCTTGCTTCCCTCCTTCTCCTGAATGACTGAAAATGTCTGTCCAGTGAAAATGCTGAGTGAGAGGTATGGGGAGGTGAAGATAGCCTTCATTTCCCTTCCCACTCTGCACTGGGTGAACATGCACGTGTGAATTCAGTGGCTCCTGCTCCTTGTGATAGGATCAGGTCCTTAAGCACTAAAGAGCATACCTATGAAGTTACAGGGAAATAGCATTTTAGTTACATTTTAGTTATATAAATTAAGTTATACAGTATTTACCATAGCTGCATGTAAGTGTCCAGTAAGCATTGAGGAAAGAAAGGCTGGAATGAAAGCTGCTGAAAACACAAAACTGACAAATAAGGCCAACCGAAAACATTGTTGTACAGTGAGAGAGAAAAGTAAAAACTATGGATTGGGTGCAGTTGGAGTGGTCATTCAAGTAGGTGCTAATATGTATAACTATGTATACAGTGCATGTTTGATGGATGCCAAAGAAAGATATTTCATTAGGGCAATATCTTTTCTTACTGTACCCCTTTAAACAGCAGCTCTCTTTCCTGCCGCTTTCTCAGTCACAAGCTTAGTCACTAGAATTGGCCTTGAAGTCCAAAACTACAGAAGGTACTGTTACTTACAATTTTAATGCTCTCACAAAATTGGATCATCTCTGTTTTTCTGACTATAGGGCAGTGAAATCAAGACAGATTATGGCCCGTTACTGCACACTTTGGCTGAATTCGGTTGGCTTTTAACATGTGTACTGCCCACTCCAGTCATCCGACTGGACAGGTAAATAAAAATACTAATTTTCTATCATTAATAACAGTGAGACAGTCTGACATCTGGGAGTGCATCTCCTCCTGACAGCAGAAAGCATGAAGTATTACAAGAGGCATTTTCTGCTTTTCCAAGACCAGCCCTTACTCAGGAACAGGCTACTTTGGGAGCTTTGATAAAGGGCTTCTGAATTAGTCAGTCTCCAACCCACCCACAAAGTTAAGACAGCCTCTTCCCCTCGCAGTCAGATACAGAAGGGTGGGCGGGGGGAGGTTTACAGGCAGCAACAGATATTTTTTTTCAACTGCCCTGTGATGGTCTACTACTTTGTATAGAACTGGAGGAGCTCTCCTTCCCCATTTGTCAGCTGATATATACCACACAAAAGGGAGGCCATTTTTTTATCCAGCACTTCTCTTCCACCTGTCAGCAACAGGGAACAAATTATAGCATCTTTGCCTCAGGCAACTGTTATGACAGTTGAAGATCATTCTGTGGGAGTTGCAGACCTTGCTGAGTGAGTTTGCTTCCCAGAGGACTGCGAAGGAAGGAAGCATTGATACTGTGATGGTGAGGGCCAGTTCCCAGAGTGGTGTATGGTGCTCTCTCCTGAGTAGAGTGGTACCCTGGTGTAACACTTGGGTCTGGCCACAGGGAAGATACAGGAAGTGGTTACCATGAGAACAGGTCCCACAGTTAAAAGAAAAAACAGCAAGACCAGATGTCAAGCTCTTCATTCACAAGAGCTGAGAATTACTGCCCTGCTTCTACAATACTGCATGTTACCATTAAACAGCAGAAGTGTCTCACTGCTTTCCTGATTTAGGGTGCTGTCATATGCATATTTAGATAGGAAACAGTCCTGCAAATCCTAGCATTGCTATAGGGCTTTTTGTTGTCCAAATAAGAATAAGATTGTGTGTATATGTTTAGGTTTCATTGTCTTTAAGGGACCAAAGTTGAATCTGGTGAACTGCTGAATTCTTTCCATTATGGGAAATCTAAGCTTTGGCAAGGATTTGGGGCTTGGGAGTGAACTTTTATATAATGGTGTGGTTTTGACAATGGATTTGTCAAAATATCCAATGATTTAAAGTTTAGCCTGGACTCCAGATACTCACTTAATCTGGGTCATGTAGGGAATAGAACAAAGCCTGAGATAGTACTGTGACTTGATCATTTGTTACAGTTTCTTGCAAATGCCAAAGAATGCATGTCAAAATACAGATCTTGGCTCTTTTTCTAACATGATGTGCGTCAGTTTTCATTTTTCTTTTCCATAGCAAAGTTGTGGAATTTTAATTGTTGTTCCAATAATATAATAGCCCCACTCTTTCACTGTTACACATGCTTTCCTTGCTCTTTAATGGACCAATTAATGGCAAAATCATGTTTTTATTAATCAGTTTCAATCCTTGTATTCCCTTCCTACTGACTATGCCAAGTGTTCATATCTAAACATGTAGGTTGCAGAAAAATAGACATGCAGAGATCACTTTTGCTGCTTTGGAAAAACTTGTTTTCTGAGGAGTCTGAAGAATTAAGGCAAAAATATTAAATTCTCAGCCTCATGGACAAACTGAAAGTCAGCAAGTCACCTAGTCCAAATAGTATCCATTCTAGAGTTCTCCAAGAACTCAAACTTGAAAGTGCTGGCCTTCTTATCAAAATATTTAACATGTCCCTAAAAATCCTCGTACCAGAGGATTAGAGAATGGTCAATGTAACACCAATTTTTACAATGGCATCTGGGGGGGATCCAGGAAATTAAAGTCAGCTTAACATCTGTTCTGGTTAAATTGCTTGAAATCATTATTAATGATAAAATCAATAAGCAAATAGAAGGACAAGCTCTGCTGGAAAAAAATAAACATGGCTTCCGGTAGGGGAAGTCTTGTCTCACTACCCTGCTGGAGTTCTTTGAGAATGGACAGGGGCTATCCGGTAGATACTATTTACTTGGACTTAAAAAAGACTTTTGGAAAAGGCCCTCACCAAAGACTCCTGCAAACTAAGCATGGAATAAATTGTGGGGGGGGGGGTGGATTTTATGAATCACTAACAAAACAAAAAAAGAACAGATGAAAAAAATGGAAATAAATGGCAATGTCTCCTAATGCAGATATGCAACCAGAGGGATTGCACAGGGTTTTTTATTAGGACCAATGCTTTATAACCTATTCATAAATGATCTGGAATTAAGAGTAAGTAGTGAAGTGGCCAAGTTTGCTGATAGTGGACAGCTTGATAAAATTGTCAGCCTGGCTCACCGTTGCTGTGAAAAAGGCCAACTCCATGCTAGGCATAATTAGAAATGAAATAGAAAATAGAACTGCCAAAATCTTACTTCCCTTATACAAATCTTAGATATGGACCGCATTTGGAACATTGTGTTCAGTTCTGATCACTTTACCTGAAAAAGGTCATTGAGTTGGGGAAAGTACAGAGAAGAGCTGCAAAAATGAACAGGGAGCTAGAGTAGCTCCCCTTTGAGGAACAGCTACAACAACTGGGACTGTTCAGCTTAGAGAAAAGCTGAATAAGTGCAGACACAATAGAGGTGTTTAATATAACGCAATGTGTGCAGAAAGTGGAGAGGAGATATTTTCCCCACTTCCATAACACTTGAACCAGGGTTATCCCATGAAGCTTATTGGTAGAAGATTTAGGACAGATTAAAAAAAGAACTTCACACAATAAATAGTAAAACTATGGAATTTGCTTCCACAGGAAGTAATGATGGCCACCAATCTGGATGGCTTTAAAAGAGAATCGAGCAGATTAATGAGGAAAGAGGCTACTAGCCTTGTGAGCTATGTGCTGCCTCCTTTACCAGAAGTGGCATGCCTGCTTACACCTGTTGCTGAGGAGCTTGGATAGGTGGCATTCTTGCACTCATGTGGACAGCAGGTTTGGAATCATGTCTACACAGTACTGGACTAAATGGACTGTTAGTCTTATCCAGCATGGCTTTTCTTATTTTATTAGGTTCTGTTGGTAGTTTGTTGGAGTTATTCGCACCAAAAGCAACAGCCAGGATCCAAAGAGCTACTTTAAGCATGCCCAGTGAGTTGGCTTGATATCTATCATGCACAAGCTGGTTTCTTATGGTTTTTGTGATTTGGCACAAAACATAGTGGATTGCTGTTTAATAACCCCAAGGCCAAAGCCTGCTTGAGCATGCAGAAGCAGTTTGGCAGTCCTTTGGATTCTGACTAGTATAACTGTATCCCCATCTATGTACTGAATCTTTGGTGGAAGAGTGGGATATAAATAGGATGAACAGATAAATTGAGGTTTTTTTGTTGCTCCCTAAGAAATCCTGCCAGAATTTCAAGATTAACAGAGTTTGAGTGGGGGAAATGAGTTATGCCAGTGTTCATGAATTGAAGCTAAAGGTGCTTTGGATTGCATTGTAATTTTATTTATTAGATTTATCCATTCTTTTATAACATTCCTAGTAGTAAGAATGCTTTAGAGGTCATATGTACCAAATTTCAATTTTATACATGGTGGGGAAGTATCATTGTCACATTGTTAAAAACTGAGCTCAGATATATTTGAAACATACAGAGAAAGAGATCAATTATTGCAGGGCTGCAGGTATTCAATCAGATATCTGTTAGAATCAACTGCATATGCCTGAACAAATTTTAAATTCACTTTATACTTTATGTATGACTTTGATAACATTCATCTATTACATTTACCACACAAAATGTAGCAATCATAAAATTTTCTGTTACACATATTTTTCTCTCTCAGAAGAAAAAACAGTTTGTGAAATAGCCTGAAGGATTTATTCCACATCCATAATAATTTCCTAATGCTCCATCACCTTGTATTCTAACTAACCAATTGCAGGACATGATAAAATATTATTTAACCATTGGCTAGAACAGTGCATTACTCTTATCACACATCTGAATAGGATTGTCATTTATCAATAATTTCAAAGAACTACCCACTATTTTAGCACACCTTTGCTGTTTGGGGATGAAGGAAATACCCATGTAATTTGGTGTGCTTGGAGTAGTTCAGGAATGTATCCAAGCAATTTTTTTTCCAGGGGAGTTGACCTAGTTCCGGAATCAGTGCTCTTTAAGTGGAAAAGCAGAATCAGTGTTCTGATTAGTGTTGATAAAATGCTGTTTTTAAAGAGCAGAGTACATTTAATCACAGAGAAGCAGGAGCTATTGGAGTTCCCCTTGTAAAACTAGGGTCCTAACAATCTCCATCAAGACCTTGAGCTCTGATTAAAAAGGAATTTTTAGAATGTTTTCTGAAGGTAAGAGAATATTACCTTCTTATAAAATTGAATCACAAATAGATAAACCAAGATATTCCAAAAAAGACATTTACAGTGCAATCCTGTACATATCTACTGAGAAGTAAATCCCACGGAGTCCAATAGGTGTCTCCCAAATAAATGTCTACAGAAGTGTATATTCAGTTTAGCCTGATTCCTAAATCTAGTCATTTTTCTGAACAATTGGAACATTTAGACCACTTCCTAGAACTATAGAATACTGTATCTTGTGTTTTGGAATCTTAAATGGTCAAGTAGGGAAAGCCAGCAGTGGGCAAATTATCTCAAGTTGCTTTCCATCACCACCTTTATTTTAAACTTAAGTACTCCATGCCAAACAAGATCTGGCTCTCATCTTGCTGAAGACAGGAAGTGGGACACCATAAGGCAGAAAAAGAAAAAGGAAGTTTCAAATATTTCATAACCAGCCAACTGTTGCAGGAAGTAGTGTTTGAGTCATGATCTTGTACTGTGTATCATGTAATAATAACGAACAAGCACCATGGCACTATTTTTAGCCATGATTTAGGGTTGCCATGTGTCCTAATTTCAGAGAACAGTCCTCTATCTGCAGGAGTTCTCGGTTTGAAGAACCATCCAAGCCAAGTCCACTTTAAAGGCCATGAACTATCAGAAGGGAGGACTTAAAGGAGTCCTGAATTTTCCCATACACAGTCAGCACTTGAACAGTAGATGCACAGGT